TCAGGGGAATCTTCAGCTACTCCTTTAGGGTAGCTTTCCACCTGCATTTTTGTGCTGCTTCAGCAGTGCCAAGCTGGCCAGGTCAGGGCTGAGACTCTGTTCAAGCATCTATCTAATTGTATATATGCCCATAAGCTTTCTTTTGCTATTTGTTCACTCTTTGGCTACGTCTACACTGGCCCCTTTTCCGGAAGGGGCATGTAAATTTCATGAGTTGTAGTAGGGAAATGCGCGGGGGATTTCAGTATCTCCCGCGGCATTTAAATAACAATGTCCGCCGCTTTTTTAAATCCGCGTGGGATTTAAATATCCCCCGCGGCATTTAAATAAAAATGTCCGCCGCTTTTTTCCGGCTTTTAGAAAAGCCGGAAAAGAGCGTCTACACTGGCCCCGGTCCTCTGGAAAAAGTGCCCTTTTCCGGAGGATTGGGGCCACTGTAGACGCTCTTTTCCGGCTTTTTTAAAAGCCGGAAAAAAGCGGCGGACATTGTTATTTAAATGCCGCGGGGGATATTTAAATCCCCCGCGCATTTCCCTACTACGACTCATGAAATTTACATGCCCCTTCCGGAAAAGGGGCCAGTGTAGACGAGCCCTTTGGGTCTGATTTTGGGCTGTATGTGCCTGTGTTTATTTTGAGTGAATAGTGAAGATAAGCACATAGGTCAAGAAAGTAGTAGATGTCACAATGTTAATGATGAGTTTTTGATAAACTATAAAGAAATTGTGCATGCAGCAAAATTATAAGAGTAGAGATTTCTCACTAGTGTATTGTACATGCTGCTGTGGCGGGGTCCCCACTGCCCCGTCCTCTCCTCCACGAGATTAAAGCAGGCTCCCCCAACTCGCAGACCCTGAGGCCTGGTCTGGGGGGTTTAAAGCAGGCCCTGAGGCCTAGTCCAGCATCCGTAACAGGCCCTGAGGCATAGTCCACGCCCTGAGGGGTTGGGGTAGGAGGGTCTGGGCCCTCCCTCTCCACCGGACCCCAACCCAGGGCCCAATAGAGGTGGGTGGTTCCCACCACTGGCTCAGCGGGGGGTCCTCCCCGAAATGCGCTGAGTCCACTGGGGTTTTCCCTGCCCCTTGCCCTGGGTTGCTTCCTACCCCAGCCTTGTGGCCGACAGAGGTCCCACCTGGCGATGCTGGGCTGGCAGCAGCGGCAACGTCAGCCGGCCCCGTCTCTGGAGCAGCAGCACAGAGGATGTCCACTGCAGCGGGGCGGACGGCCCCCCAGAGTCGGCGTTGGGGGCGTGCTCGACCCGGGGATGGTGGCAGCAATAGCGGCGGGCCCTCCGGCTCTAATTCTGGCAGCAGGTCCGGCTGTGGCCCTGCGGCTGGGGCTGGGGCTCCTTCCTCCCCGGTGGTCTGCCACAACTGAGCAGCCCGGCAGCCTTTTATAGTGAGGCTGCACGGCAGGGCTGTGGGGGAGGGGCGTATTCTACCCAATAGACGGGCTCCCCTCCCTCCTGCTCAGTGCAGGGCAGGCTAGCCCCGTCACAGCTTCCCTTATTTTTATCATCAGACCCAGACAAAGCAATTGGATTCAACTAAGGCAACTGCTCATTCCAAGCTTGGCCATATCTAACAGAATCAGGGTAGTGTGGAAACACAAGAAGCTGTGACCGAGCTACAATGCCACTACAATGCAGAGTCAAAAAGAGACAAAGGGACAAAGAGACAGGCAAATAGATTTGCCAACTTCTCACATGGGCACCTGATCCTTTCCTATACCTTCCTGAAGGAATGTTTACCACAAGATCAAGTGAGGGCACACTCCTCTCTAAACCAAGCAGTGCTTTTTCACTTTGCTTGAGTGTGAGCCAGTGTTATGTAAATCTTCAAAAGTTTTAACATCTAGGCTAAGCCAGGCAAATTTTCACTGATGTAAAAGCAACTATGAAGGTTGAATCCTAAAGGTTCAGTTCCTCCTACTTTTCTCTCAGTAATCTCCTAAATCAGTGGTTCTCACACTTTTTTGCAAAAGGCCCATCCTGATCAATACAAACCTTTCTGTTGACACTAGTCAACCGACTATGATGACAAAATGGGTGCAGGAAGGGGTAGGGGTGTAAGGTATGGGCAGGAGGGTGCAGGAACAGATTGAGGGGGGATGCAAGAGTGGGCTTGGGGTAGGGGTCTAGACAAGAAGGGTGTCTGTGTGAGCATGATGGGGGTAGGAGTCTGGACATAAGATACATATGGGGGCGCTTACCTGGCTCTGCACCCTCTACACTTCTCAGGCACCAGTACCAGCTGCTCCCTTTGGCTGGGATTCTGGCCAATGGGAGCAGCAGGGAAAGCCTCCAGATAAGCAGTTTCCAGGTGCTGCCATTCCCCCAGCCAGTGGGAGTGGAAGCAGCAGTGTGCAGAGCTGCTTTCTGCCCCCACAAGCTGGATCCAGCTCGCAAGGCACTGGGCTCCCTACTCACCTGCAGCAGGAAGCCAGCACTGGTACTCCAACCTCACGGAGGGTACGTGCTGGGCTGGAGCGCTAGCATGGGCTGCCCGCTGTGGGAAGAGGGGAGCTGAGCCCCAAGCCCATGGTCCACCTGCAATACAGTTGCGGGACCACTAATGGTCTGCAGAGCACGCTTTGGCAACCACTGTCCTAAGTGTTCCTAGGAGTAGGTTCTGAGCTCACAATGTCCCACATGTTTATTTGGTGCACAAAGACTGTAGTGCTTGAGAAACACAAAAGATGATAAAGGAAATTTACTCTAACATTTCTTTGGTATCCTTTCCCCCCTACATGGCCTTCTCTCTCCTCCTTTCCTGTGTCCCCCAAGATGAGAAAAATGTGAATTAGGTTTCTGCCACAGTCTGCAGATAAAGGTTTCAAGAACAGTCACAGTAAAGCTGGGTGGATAAAAAGAAAAAATGGAGTCTGTCCTTGCATCTGAAAACCAGTTAGAATTCATAGACAGAGAGCAACTAGCTCAAACTACATGAGAAAGTTACACTGTTTCATTTAAATCATTTTTTTTTCAAATTGATTTAGTTAAACCCATGAATATAATCCCCTCAATCATTTTAGGTTAAGAGGGGATTATATTCAGTTCTATGTATCTGTACAGTATCCAGTACAATGGAGCCTCAATATATATTCAAGTCTCAAAATGCTACTGTAAGATAATTATTTACTACAGTAGTAGGTAGTGCCCCAAGCTGCAGTGTATGAAGAGCTAACCATCAGAAACAAAATAGTGGGCTCTACCCTTAAGATCTCACAACGTAAGTACACAATGAGACACAGCAGGCAGATAAACAAATAATGAAATAGGGCACTACAATGGGGCTTGACTAACATTGAGATGTACAGCACCTGGCACACTAATGATTGTATTTTACACATAGTAATCTGAAAAGGCACACTGTCTATAGTTCTCCTGCCTGACAGTTTTCATGACCAGGACTACTGTAGCTTATTAACAGGCACAAAGTACACTGTTTTATGCCACAGTTTCACAGCACATATTCATTTCCTCATTCTACTTCTGTTTACATTTTCATACAAAGTCTTCCCAGAAAAGACAGAAGTTTGCAAAGTTTTCAGTTACTGTACCAATATATTAGGTCAGATTCTCATTTACAGTAAGGCCCACTGCCGGGGGACTCAATCTCAATGGGGTCAGACCAAGCACATCTTCTTTAAGAAGAAATATAAACTTTAATGCCTGATTTTTCCCTTTAGCTTCCTAGCTGGGGTATCCCCAAATGATTGATGAATTGATTTACTCAGGTTCACTCAGCTTTCTACCCCAAACTTAACAGGCTCACTGACAAGCGGTGGGAGGCACGCAAAGGAAGCAATGGCCCTGGGGCCCAGCAATTCTAAAAAGCCCAGGGAACACTGAACACTGCAGCAGTTGGAGCCCCATGCCCTTTAAACTGGCGCTGGAGCACCGCTTGACTGCTCTGGGCAGCTCTAATTGCTGTGGGTAGGTGCACCACACTCCAGGCAGCGCTGAGGGCTTTGTGTTTGGGGGGAGGGGAAGCAGCGTCACATGCTCACTGCCCTGCCCTTGACCGTTCCAGGAACATGGAACCAGCACCCAACCCCCACCTCGTCCAGGGACTAGGCATGGCCGTGTGCTCCCCTGAACTTACATACTGGTTTAGAGGTATCAATGATTTAAGCAGTGTCTTTACTCCTAGCACAATTCTCTCTGCTTTCAGATCCACTGGCATACTGCCATGTACTCTTTAATGTTGCAATGTTTGTCTGAAATCCTTCCCTTTGATAGTTCCCTCAGGGGCAACTTCTCTACTTAGCTGGACAACTTGTTGATATTACATAGCCTATTCTAATTCCCTTTAATACATTTTTCATTCAAATATTGAATTTGTTGTTATTCTACACACTTCCCAGAGTCCATCACTGTGAATGGCACCAGACTGACAGCCTCAGAAACCAAATACCTCTATTCATTCACAGAATACCTCATGTGCAGTGACAGTACAAACTCTCCAACGTTACATGCCAGCATACCTTCAGCCAAACCTGGAAGGTAGGTTGGTACAGTATTTGTGGTGATACAATCCTTAACACATGTACTAAGGCTGCCAAAGTTATGCCAGGATGTTATGTCCAGTATGCACTGACTTGAGACCAACAACTCATTTCATTTAAGTCAACAAGCAATCTCAGAGAACAAGCATTTCATTCACTACAGACCAGTGTTGGATTTTCAGCTGGTCATGGAAGAATGAAAGCCTCTGTATCCCATTAGAATTAGAATTGAGCTCTCTGATCATCCCATTCAATCTCTGGTTCTCCTGCCAGAGTGCAGTTATCTCAGACTTTGAAGGACAAATTACCATGCAGAAAGTGGAAAGGAGGAATCTAATTCTATGCTAGTAGTGTTATTAAATGAGTTAGATGTCATAATCTTCCTTTATCAACTACTGTGTGCTATGTATCACAATAAAACACACATGTATAATTCATGGAAATAACCAATTCCTTTTGGCAATATTAAATTTTTCTTATTATAGACTAACCTGCATACTTCTAAATCATCAGACCAGTCATCATATAAAACAGGAGGTTTCTGAACCACATCAGTCACAGTGGACCCAGCCCCAACAGGTTCTCCATTTTCAGGAACTGCCAGAGTATCACTGCCAGAGCCTCTCTCGGTAAAGCCTTCTGTGACCACTTTATTTTGTCTAAGGTAAGATGAAGGCTGCAGCTCTTTGGGGTAGCTTCTGCCCCTGTTTTTTCCACATTTTCTTGAAGAACTCCTTGTCTCCAGAGAGGACATCGAAGACAGTGAAAGGCAAGATTCTTTACACGTTGAAACCCTTCTCCTCCGGTGATTTAAAGTGGGGTTATCAGAATCAGACATCTCTTGTTTCTTTTCCCCCGTTGTCCCCAAGGTGACAAGTTCAATGGCATTGTTATTTCGAGATTCATCAGGGTTACTGCAAGATCTGTTGTTCCTTCTCCCTCTCCTTGGCATTTTGACCCTTTCTCTGGCTCTCCTCCTAGCCTGCGCCCACTGATTCTCATCTGAGGATGATGAATCAGATGTCTCCTTGTGCAATGCATTGCATTTAGAGCTTGCAGCCATTGGGTACAAATTCCAGTCCTTCCCTTTTCTTTGCTTTTCTGTGTGCTGAACATTGTCACCAGTCTCTTTCTTCCGCCTAAACCTTCGTTTCACTTGTTTCTTACCAGACTCCCTACTAGCAGGAGTCAGCACCATGACAGGTGTGGCATGTTCAAACTCATCTTCTGACACATCATGCAAGGTGGCAGATCTAAACAAAGCAGCAGCAAAGGAGAGGGATGGAAAATGGTAGAGAGAGAGAGAGAGAGCAAAACAAAAAGGATGAAAATAGAAACAAGCTGATTTCATAGAAAAGGAAACATGACAAAAATAAGAGCTCAAAAGAAAATGCAGATGTGTGTAATTCATGAATAATGCTAGGCAGAAGCAAGAGCTTATCACTTATTAGACAAAGATGACAACAAACACTGACAGATTAAAACAACTTATTCAGCACCCACCTGCAGATGTCCTGTGTGGAAGGGCATACAGACAACCGTGACTGACTCCTAGGAGCTGTTCCAGTGGTAGGACTGCTTGCCTGTTGAAAAAAGTTGGACAATTTGGAATCTTTGCTCATGAAATACATTGCAGATATTTTACTATTTTGCCACATGATTAAAAAGTTTAAACAACAGTTGCAGTTGTTCATCGTCTTCTGCTGCAAGCCCACAAGTTCACAAAATACAGGAAGAGTGAACAAAAATAAAACCCTTTTGAGGAACTAAACATGACTGAAGGGCTGCAGCTCTCATTTGCCCTTGGGTATTTTTTTGGTTTCAGGAAGAGGTTTTCATCAGCTGAGATCTCATTTCAGTTCTGATCTACTATACGTGTTTATGGGAAAGAATGTTGTGTTCTATTTCAAGCAGATAAATAAGCATGATGATCCTTGGCAGAATGAAATAAAACACTGACATTATTCTGAGTTAGGATGAGCACAGAGGCTCAGCTAGCAAACCTGCATGGCATGGAGTGACGAAGCATCATGAATATTAAACCATTTTTTAAAAAAAGGTTTGCAAGGCAATCAAATCATCTACTGGAATTGAATGAATGTGAAATTGATGAGCCTGAAAAAAGTCCAAAGTTCAGACTGTAACTCTACAGAGCCTATCACATTCTCTAAGCAGCAGGGGAGAGAAATTCAATACATATCTACTGTACGCAATTCCCTTCTAAGGTTGTCATTGCAATTTGCAAAGGAAGTTGCTGAGGACATCCAGTGAGAAACATGTTTTGATGGTGCTGGAAAAAAAACAACACAATTTTGGTCTGCCTGATAGTTTATTGGTAGGGTAGCTCTGAGAGATCCAAAGATGGTCCTGAGATTCCTAGTTTATCAGGGACTAGATTGTGGTGGTAGCACACTCAATTCTAGAGAGAGCGAGCAGCAAAATATCTGTTTTTTAACCCTCCCAGTGGCTGATGTGGGGCCCTATGATTTGGCATGCAATCCTGTGAGTTCAGTGCCTGTGAGGAGTCCAGAGTAACATGAACACTAAACATGAAGGGTTAAATGACCAAGGCAATTAGCACATATAAAAGAAGAATGAATATTAAACAGGAGCGGAGATTGCAAAGGATCAGATACCAAAACTTAACACAGACCAATCATAGGACTTAGATACAGTAACTATTGTACAAAGCACTTAATCAAAATGACTCTTGCATTACTTTGCACAAGGCAGAATGCCAATTTTAATTTCAATCAGTGGTGAATTTTCTATTAATGAAAATAAGGAATTAATAGCCCAAGCTAACATTGTTGATAAATGCATCAAGAGTTTCCTACTACTGCAGCTTAACCCTGACCCATAACATCCATAACATTTAATGTCTGGGTCTCTCTTGAGCAGGGACCACCATGGTGCTGTGTGGTTTGTAATGTGGACTCAACTGAGACTCGGAAGCCAAAGTAGGATTTGAAGCAAAGACTTTGGGGGGTGAGGGATGCAGCCACCCCTCCCAAAAAACTTGAGAATAAAGAAGTAACTTGATAATGGTATGTTGTGTGAGAGCATGTGTTAAAACTGCTTTTGTATGGATAAGTCCCTCTGCCCTTGCAAAACTCAGAAGTGACGTCATCAGGTAGATGTGGCACATTATAGTGTCTGACACGTGAAAAAAATCAGTCATCAGTGGAAAAAACGTTTTATGTTCTTTGTGTCTCTATACAAACAAACATCTCAACAGTTTTGAAGGAGAAAAGGAAGAATCAATTACATCTGGATGTTAGAAACAGCTGGTGGGTGCTCGCTGTGGAATATATTCTCTCTCTGCACAACATCTGTGCTAAGACTTGTTAAGTGATAGATAACTCATGTCTCATGCAGTTTGTGTGACTACTTACTACAGCATTGCCACAACTGAGGAAAAAATACAGGGGCCAATGCCTGACCAAGCTACTGGATGGTATGACTGCAGATGTGCTGTGGATAAGGGCACGAGAACAATCCATCCAGGCCACAGAGCACCAAGGAGTTACTATTTGGTGATCTCTCCAGTTTGACCAATGGGCCCTTATGCAAGTTATCTGCAGGTAGAACAAAAAAGAGATGCCACATCACAGTGGATCCTCTGCCCTTGATGCCACTGGACTCACCCATGCTCTTCTATACCAACTATGGCATGAATCTGGTGGACACACATTGGCTGTTCAAATACCTTTTCCATTTTGGGGCGTGTGGGCAGGTGATGGGAAGTGGTGAAGAATTGTCAGAAAAAAATTAAGGACAGTTCTTACTTTTAAACAGTTACTTTCTCATGTTTGGGTAGCTGTAAAGATCTTTGTCCTTTGATGAAACAAACACAAGATGTACTAGACAGAATCAGACCAATGGTCATTTAGCATCTAATTTAACTTTACAGTGAAATTCACAACATATGCAGATGGTTTATGTGGAACTTAAATAAAAGAGCTCATGCCATCCTTCAACAAAAGGGAAAATTTGGCTTTGAGTTAATGTAGCTCTTTCTCTGTACCTCAGTTGTACACAGCAAGACTATGAATTATAGTAATCTGTTCAATTTTGGCAACTGTCTGGACTTTTTTCCTTACAAATTTCAGCTGGTGGATCACTCACAAACTGTTTTCTACTACAAGGCATGACTGATGACCTACACCAAGTGTCACTGTTCCTGCTACCTGATTGAATGACCTAACCTTTATAAATTAATTCTGTATCCAATACAAATTTAATGTAAAAACCAAGCCAACTTTATTTTGTGATTAAACAAATCCTGACACCCTGGTCTGGCCACTGTACGCTCATGTTTACAATGTAGTATGGAGGCTGAAGCACAGGTTTGGAAATATGGAGTCCACAATAGGAATGTTAAATTTAGTATACTCGATTAGTCAATGGATTTTCTATTGACTAGCTGATCAGTTGGTAAGTGGAGAGCAGCAGGAGGGTTAGTTCCCAGCCCTGGGAGTTAGCTCTGCTGCGGCTCTGCCTTTTAAATGTACTAAGAGCCAGCAGGCTTTTAATACATTTAAAAGGCTGAAGCACAGCCGGGCGGGGAGAGGGGGGAATACCCAGTGTGAGCCAGAACAGCTGATTCCCAGCTTATGTCGGGTATCCCTGACGGCGAACCAGCCTTAAATGTAAAAAGGCTGGAGCTCAGTGGGGGGAACCCAACATGAGCTGGGAAAGACCTGTCTTTCACTGAATTAAAAAACGAAACCTGGAGACATTTTTATGCCTATTTCGGTGCAACATGGTCCATATGCAGGCATAAAGGATCTGCATCATCTAAGCCCTCAAAATAGAGAGGTTAAGTAGGATTTAAGTGGAGCATATGCCTTATTCAGATTTCCTTGATGATAAATTTCATCCAATAACTCCCCCCCCCCCCAATTTTTGTAAGAAAATCAAATTTAAGGTCTATGCTAAACAATGTTTCTTTAATATCTGGATCACAAATTTAAGCAATGTGTATGGCTCTAAAACCAAGACATAATGTTAGTATTTGATTTATTATTATTCAACTCAAATGACTAAGCCAAGTTTGGGGACCTATGGGTGTTCCATTTGGGAGCAGAAATTGAGACTAGTCAGATATTGCTTTGATGCAGTTTTGTTTGTTAACGAATGTATTCACTTCTGTGTGTCTGAAGTCAAAGGAATCAAATAGCAGCAAACAGCTTGTTTTTTTTTTTTCCCGCTCAGAGCACCCAGGGCACTCTTTCAGCTTGCAATATACTGCTCCCCCACCCCACCCCAGGTTTCTTCCAGAGTCAGCTGCTCTTTCAGCCTCTCGCTGGTTCTATCTGTTTTTCTGCTTGACCTCAATTTCTGTGTGATCTCTTTTTCCACACCCAACAAAAGCAATACTTAGCCAAATGTTCCTGGGCAGGTTCACACACACCTTTTGTGTTAGGTGGGGTTTATGGTTTATTCATGCCAATGAAACATGTTATGTTATGAAAGGTGAGCTCATCGCTGCCAATCTTAATGAGGTTTTAACTCATCCTGTTCATAACATTATTCAAAAAAGGTCACATCTTACAGCCCTCACTCAGATTGAATTGTACCTCCTTGGACCCTGGAGCCTGAAAGCTGTACTGTACTTTGGTCACTGGGGTTCTGCAAAAGTGCAGGAGTCCATCTATGCAAAGCAGCTTGTAGGACAGAATTGTTAGCTTGCAAGTAACCCCACTGAGATGGCACAGAGAAAACTGCTGCTCCTTGCCAGGATGGTAGAATCAGAGATTATGTTTTTGCATCAAGGAGCTACTTTGTCATAAAGAAATTCAGCTACAGTAATGGAATCATGCAGAACACCATGAAGTACATTGCATATGGATCCCCTCTAAACAGAAAGCATGATAACATGTGTGCATTTTTCTAATGCAATCTCAATCAAGATAATGAATCCTAAAAGGAAAATGTATACAACAGATAGCTTGCAAATACATAAACTCAGCATACCAAATCTCATTGCTATAATTTGCCATTTGGCACACTACGATTATGCTGAAGTTGTAGTCACTGAATGGGGACAAGATTGATACTAAGGCCTCTATTTCATTTGGTGTGTAGAATAATGAATTCTTGTAAAGAGTGCATTCCTTTAATAGATGTTTATTTCAGACAGCTTCATTGTACAGTGCATTCTAATGTGGAAACTAAACCGGAGGCCAGCTGCACTAATTTTATCCTAGCAAATTACATTGAGCAGCATAATTAAAGGCGGTAATTCAAAATTAAATTGTCTGACAACCCATTTATAAGAGACTGCTCATTTCTCTATGACATGAAGGCTAGGAATGTGCTTAGGGGACAGTGTCAACTCCAATTGATTAAGTTTGGCATTTCAGAAATCATTGTTAGAAATCACTCTCTAGTCACAACCTTCTCATGACTTAACCAGTTTAGATTAACTCTTCTTCCAAAGGATGCAATTCAGTTAACAAAGATGACAGGATGTGATAGTCATAATTATTTTCAACAAGAGCTGATGATGCACGTTACAAACAGAATAATTGTACGCAGCACACATTCAGGACATCAAAAAAGCAGGCTGGAGCATCGC